TAGTTCTTTCCATCGTCATCAATAGACAAAGCTGGGTGTCCTTCCTCTCCAATAGTGATTGGTCTATTTGACCATGTTGTAAGGTATTTCTCTCCTGGCGAAAAGTCGACAAGATTGACGAAAGGATGCGCGAAACGCTTCTGTCTAGTCCAAGATGGTCCACCCCAGAGCTGCACACCTTGTTGATGCATCGAGGTCAAGAAAGTACCTTGGGGTGACCATTGTACAAATGATTCAGTCCAGTGTTGGCGATCGACGATACTTTCTGGTGCATCCTTCTCGTTGTTCCAAAGAACTTGTACTCTGTCATCCTTGTACATGACAAATTGATCCCGTCCACGTCCGGCTGGATCCGCAAGCCATGATCTCAAGTGCTCCTTCTCGGTGAACTCTTCGATTTTTGGAGGTGTGTAATTCTCGTCAATGCGTCCTTCCCGACCATAGCGATCAATATCCGTCAATTTGTTGACTCGAAGGGTATGTTTCTTGTCGAGGGGCACGCCATCGAGGGCTTTGCATGCAGCAATAGCTTCAGCAGGGGAAGAGTATTCGACGAAGGCAAATCTATTCTTATCAATATATGAATTGAGGGATGACGAAGAACATCTGAAGCTTACTTGTGCGACTTGCCATCTGGTCCGATGGGCATGTGTATTGAGTCCTTCTTCGTCTGACCAACAGAGTCCAATTTTCTCAACAAAAATTTGATCAACTTGGGCTTAGTATCTTCGTTAACTTCTGGGAGGCCATCGATAACAACGAAAGTATCGAGTCCTTGCTCGAGCTGTACTTCGAAACGTTCTCTTAAATCGGAAATGTCGAGCTCTTCCTCATCGTACTCATCCTCTTCTGGATCTGGGAGATGATCGAAACTTGGCGCCATGATTGCGATATAATGCGATCAACCAACAGCCTTTGCGCGTTCTCTTGTCAGTTCGATAAATGTTGTTGGTGAGTTTTTGTGTGAATTCGTTTGGAATTTTTGACCCCACTAGCCCACTTCTGTACAGTCTATTTTGAATTAGACTATTCGATTTGATTGCAGCGTCTTAATATTGAATTATTGCAACCAAAGTCTTGAACTCCTGTATAGAGATAATTTCATAAACAAAGGACAAAATTCCTTGAGAAGAATGTGAGTGGTGGTCGAGATCAGGTTCTTCAAATAGACAAGGCTGCCAAAAAATCGATTTTCCCCCAACTTTAATTTTCGTGTGCGAGGCACTAACGAATTAATTTTAGAGCCACATTAGCGATTACTATTCGACGCGCCCCTAGAAACTTTACGCGACGACGAGGTGTTTTACTCCAAAAAAAATTGTAGCACATCTCGCAGATCTCCATACAAAGCAAGATGGCTTCCTTTAACCCAACCCAAATTTTTGAAGATGGTACAACTGAGGAGAAGGGAGAGAATGCTCGTCTCTCTGCATTTGTTGGTGCTATCGCAGTCGGAGATTTAGGTAACTTGAACCCCTCCATAAAGCTTCAAAAGTGTAATTTACTGAATGAACATCTTTCTAGTCAAATCAACTCTAGGACCAAAGGGTATGGACAAGATCCTTCAGAGCGCAAGTACAGGCGAAATTTTAGTCACAAATGATGGTGCTACCATCCTCAAAGCTATTGCCTTGGACAACGCAGCTGCCAAAGTTCTTGTCAACATCTCAAAAGTGCAGGATGACGAGGTTGGAGACGGAACTACATCTGTTACTGTATTAGCTGCAGAGCTTCTGCGAGAAGCTGAGAAGTTGGTTGATAAAAAGATACATCCGCAGACCATTATCGAAGGTTATAGAATAGCAAGCCAGGCGGCCCTTTCAGCATTAGAGAAGTCGGCGGTGGACCACAGCAGCAATGCCGAAGCTTTCAGAAAAGATTTGTTAGCCATCGCACGCACGACTTTAAGCTCCAAGGTTCTCTCGCAAGATCGAATCCAATTTGCAGAGTTGGCTGTTGACGCTGTTTTACGTATGAAGGGTTCATCAGACTTAAGTCACATCCAAATCATCAAAAAGGCTGGTGGAAAATTGAGCGATTCATATCTCGATGAAGGTTTCATTTTGGACAAGAAAATCGGAGTCAACCAACCTAAACGATTAGAAAAGGCTAAGATTCTTGTTGCGAACACCGCCATGGACACGGATAAGATTAAGATTTTTGGTGCCCGAGTAAAGGTTGGCTCCACTGGAAAGTTAGCTGAATTGGAGAAGGCCGAGAAAGATAAGATGAAGGCAAAGGTTGAAAAGATCAAGGCACATGGCATCAACTGCTTCATCAACAGACAACTTATCTACAACTGGCCTGAACAACTCTTTTCGGATGCCGGTATCATGTCCATTGAGCATGCCGATTTTGATGGTATCGAGAGATTGGCTTTGGTTACCGGTGGTGAGATTACATCGACGTTTGATCACCCAGATCAAGTCAAGCTCGGTCATTGTGACCTGATTGAAGAAGTGATCATTGGTGAAGATACTCTCATTAAATTCTCTGGTGTTGCTGCTGGTCAAGCTTGCACAATTGTACTAAGAGGAGCAACTGAGCAGTTACTTGATGAAGCAGAGAGATCTCTTCATGATGCTCTTGCAGTTCTTTCACAAACTGTCAAGGAGCCAAGAACCACCCTTGGTGGAGGCTGTGCTGAGATGTTGATGGCTAAAGCTGTTGAAGGCGCCGCAGTCAAAGTAGACGGCAAAAAACAAATTGCTGTTGGTTCTTTTGCGGTAGCACTCCGTCAATTACCCACCATCTTGGCTGACAACGCCGGTTATGATTCAAGCGATTTAGTCGCTAGACTCCGAACAGCCATTTACGATGGTATGTCCACATACGGACTGGATCTTTTGACCCCAGGAGGTGGAATCGCTGACATGCGAGAACTGGGAGTTATTGAAAGTTACAAATTAAAGAAGGCAGTAGTCTCATCTGCTTCTGAGGCAGCAGAGGTCAGTATCATCATTCCCATATTTCCCTTCAATACTAACTCAAATTAGCTCCTCCTCAGAGTGGACAATATCATTCGCAGTGCCCCACGGAGAAGAGAGAGATGAGCATAATGAAAGAAAAAAATGACGACTGTATTATGAAGATGCAAAAATGGTCAGGGAGATTTGTACCAACTATACCATAGACATATTGCAGCAACAATAATGAATGAATGGATGAACAACCTCTAAATCCTCTTGGTTTTCTGTGATTATTTTAGAGATTTTCCGTTCAATGGATCTCGCACAACAGCGATTTATGTGATTGCCAGCCAAGTGATTGCAAGAGCCAATGCTAGAATCCACCAACAGTGCGTATCTAGTTGGTGTTAATTACCTGCCTTACCACAGCTTTGAAACAACCACGCCTTTAGAATCCAGATAATCCCAAAGTTGCAAAATTCAAAGCTATGGTTCGTCTGCTCCTGCTAATAGAATCGCTTCCGTCATACGAATTTTATGATAGCAAAGTCTAAAGTCTCTCTTCATTGATCTAGTTTTTTTGTTGCTAGTGTATTCCAGCTACTCCCGCAAACATTCAAACCTTCTTTACGGGGCGAGGAAAACAGAATGCTCCTAATTGGACCCTTGATCTTCTACATATTTTTTCCTGTTTGCTTTTGGTGTTATCACTCTTGGTCACTTTTCTGTGACTACTTGGAACAGAGGCTTACAAACATGTTGCTAGCCGCTTGGAAATTGTCAAAGCCAAGTAAGTCAATGAATGAGACATGTTTGGAAAGGAATACCTAGGCATTGCTGGCGATGTGAGTGTATTAAGAATTGAGATGGGGTGATTATACCTAGTTACAAAGCACGTATTAATTTTGAAAGCTCCATCGGTTCCATAGGTTTAAGGTTTGAGGGATGATATCAACTTCATATTCGCGACAGTGTATGATAATTTCTTACATCGTAGGTACTTTTTGGGATAGTTCACTCCGTAAGTGCAATTCCCAAGAATTTGCAGCAATAGTACCATATCAGTGAAAATCTCAATCAAATTATCATATTCTCACCTACCTAATTGGTATTAAGTGTGGGAGGTATAATTTCAAAACCTGGAATGCCAACAGGTATGGTTGAATTGACCCTGGATTGTACCAACTTCGAGTCTTGACTTGAGATTGTGTGTGTGTGAGTTGATGGGTAGATGTAGAAGCAAGGAGAAGAAATGTTCGAATAAGCTGACGAATGTTCGAATCCTACCTCAGTACTAGGGAGGAGGGGAGGTAGTACTGTAAGCAGAAAGAAGGAGAACACCCCCCTTACCTTCTTTCCCTTCTTCTTCTTCTTCTTCTTCTTGTTGTTGTTGTTGTTGTTCTTCTTCTTTCAGTCTATCAACTGAATCGCTTCAATCAACAAATTATATAATTTTCCCCCATCTACCTACTAGCACTACCACTACCACTATCTACCCGGTAGCTTTGTTCCCTTCCCTCAGGCCGTTTCTACTCCATACTCCACATTTGGATTCCGTGTGCCGGTTCGTACCTATTGATCAATTTATTCTTATGCAAATTCAATTGATCGAGGGGTTTTCTAGTGTTTACAAACCGAACTAGCTCATGTGGATGTGGATGTGGATGTGGATTGGATCGGAAAAGTCCCTATTATTAGCCTTCTTTTTCTAATTCTTCTGACACGAAAAAACCCACCGAGCCACCGCGCACACACACACACAGCTACACAAATCACAACCACCACCACCACCACCACATTTTGGATTATCCCATCCCATCCCATCCCATCACACCTCTTCCCTTCCCTTCCCTCCTTTTGTTTCATCGAGGGCAACAAGTTAGCAATTTGTTAATCATTATTATTTGTTCGAACTCGAGACTCGAATTCAATCAGACTTAATACAACTCAATTCGACATCGAACTTTTATCTTTGTTCAACTGCCGTCATACGATATCTCCTTTCATCATCATCAGCCTCTGCAAATAAATAAATCCCTCAAATACTTCGCCGTGTGCGAAGTATTAACAAATACACGTTGACCTTCAATCATGGTCAGGCCCCAGGCCTGTGGCGAAGCCGTGAATAATATATTCATCTTCGCAGCATTCTTTTTGGTTCTACCATGGTTAGTCGATGCTCAGCAGCAGCAGCGATCAGTTCTCAGGCAACATGAATCCTCGCCCGAGATCGGCAGTTCAGAGGCAATAAGGACTCCTCTCGAAGCAACTAAAATAAAAACCATTGAGACCCCTTTGGTCATTCCACGAAGAAAACAAACTTTTAGCGTAAAGGCCGGATCTCACGATATAGTCGATGCGAGCGCCGATTCAGCACCATTAGCTCCTTCACATCTTGCACAATCCAGTAGGCTTGAGTCTAACAGTCTTCAGTCTCCTGGATGGGGTTCTTCGCAGCCGAGTGCGCGGGATCTCCAAGACTGGGAAGTAGAAGATTTTGTGCTACTGGCGACCGTTGATGGAAGTGTGTGGGCGCGCGATAGAAAAACGGGTAAACAAAAATGGCGAATGCGTAAGTAGTCCGAATGAAGGCGTATTATTTGCTGCTCGATTCCGCTTCATAAGAACAATCACTAATCCTGATGAATATCCACAGAATTACCTGAAGTCTCAATGATTTCCACCAAACATCACAAGAGAAACAAATCTGCCGATTTCAATGAAGCTCCGACCCCATGGGGTATTGACGATTATGTCTGGATTGTTGAACCCACCGAACATGGTGGTTTATGGATATATCGCCCGGATGTTCCGAACGGTGGCCTGATTAACACAGGTCTAACAATGAAGAAATTAGTTGACGAAATGTCACCTTACCAGAGTGACGACCCCGAAGTCGTATACACTGGTTCGAAGAAAACTCAAATGGTGCATGTTGATGCCACCAATGGAAAAATATTACAGGTCTTTGGAGGAGATTACATTGTCGATACACAGGATCAAAGCTGTAGTTCCGAAAATGGATTTGTGGGAAGAGAAGCTGACGAATGTCAAAATCCCACGATTTGGTTGGGGTTATCAAAATACGAAGTCAACATCGTTGGCAAGGACCAACACCCAATTGCTACTTTAATGTACAATGAATGGGGACCTAATGTTCAAGACGCGAAGAAATATGGAGACAAATATCACCAAACACTCGACAACAAATATATCCTAGCTGGCCAGGATGGCCACGTGATGGGATTCGATCGTGAGCGGAACGATGATCATGAACTACTGTTCCAACAGAAGCTTCCTTCACCTGTCGTTAGGGTATTTGACATCTTTAGACCCTGGGGAATTGAGGAAAAGAACCTGAAATTGATGATACTTCCACAACCTAAGCCCGAGTTGTCGGCTGAAAACGAAATGTCAGAAACGGATCAGCATCGAAATCGAGTTGTTATCAACCTTTCTAAGGATGGAAGTTTCTATGCTATGTCTGGAAAATCATATCCTTTGGCTGTAACAGGTTCCAAAGCCGAAATTTACCAACGTGAATCGTTGAAACGCGAGTCTTGGGAAAAGATGGGTCAGCCTGAGCTGGCGGCGGCGCTGACTGGTGTTCATTTTCTCGACGAACCAACCGAACCTCGCCTGACCATATCTGCTCCCCTATTCGAAGATGACAACCAAAGCAAAGTGACTGTCACAGACCTCACTCCAGAACTTCTTGGTGAACCAACTCTGTTACAAAGCTTCCAGCAAATTCCAAGGCTAGCGATTGACAGTGTTGTCGAATTCGTTAAGAATCCTGTTCTCATTCTATTTTTGATGATACTAGTTATCTCGAACCAAAGAGCAATACGAGCTTGGATCGGCCGCCATGGACTTCACAAAAAGAAAACTGTCGTTTCGCACAAAGATAGAACTGTAACTAAGGATGTGCCACCAGTCGATGATTCAAGTGACGATGCCACAAACATCAACGGTCACGAGGCTGCTCGTTTATCAGTTATTCCGGAAGACAAACCTCTTCGTGAACCTACCCCTATTGTTAAAGATTTCACACCGCTCCCGGACGTTCCTGAAGACACTGTTGCGGCTGTGCCACTTGAAGGTACTACTGTGAACGACGCTAGCTCATTATCAGAGGTTGTGCAAGATGTTGGCGATCTTGCCCTGTCACCCGAAAAGAAAAAAAGGAAACGAGGACGACGTGGTGGCGTTAACCACCGAGGGAAGAAAGATCGTCCAGGTCAAACTGGAAGTGACCAAGAGTCTCAAAATGCTCCCGTCAAAAAGCTACCCCCAACTGTTGAAGATGCCGTGCACAATGTCAAAAATATGTTTCCTCAGAACACGCTCGAACCTGACATTCAGACGGTGTCTAATGACCCTGCGGAAGTTTCTGGTTCCAAAATTCGTATCGGGGCATTGGAAGTGGACCAAAACAAATTAGTCGGTACGGGTAGCAATGGTACCATGGTCTTTGAAGGGAAGTTCGATGGCCGCGCTGTCGCTGTCAAGAGGATGCTCATTCAATTTTATGACATCGCATCCCAAGAAACCAAGCTTTTAAGAGAAAGTGACGATCATCCAAATGGTAACTTTTCAAAACTCTCCCTTGCACTCATTCTCTAACATTCTAATAGTCATCCGCTACTTCGCACAACAAAGCGCTGCTGGATTCCTATACATCGCCTTGGAGTTATGCCCTGCCTCTTTAAGTGATGTCATTGAAAAGCCACACTTACATAGAGATCTGGCTCAAGGTGGTGAAAAGGACCTTCCAAACGTACTCTATCAAATTACCAATGGTATCCAGCACCTCCACAATCTCCGTATCGTCCATCGTGACCTAAAGCCACAGAACATCCTAGTTGCTATGTCTAAGAATGGTAAACCTCGACTTCTCGTTTCAGACTTCGGGCTATGCAAAAAACTGGAAGTGGAACAGTCATCTTTCAGGGCTACTACTGCCCATGCGGCCGGTACATCTGGCTGGCGGGCCCCGGAACTTCTTCTTGACGATGATGACAAGCCAGGATCCATGGTTGATACGAGTACAGATGGAGGTGGATCAGGCTCGATTCTTGTTGGCTCGGATATGATGCACAATCGCAGAGCAACACGTGCTATTGACATATTCTCACTTGGATTGGTATTCTTCTACGTTTTAACCAAAGGTAGCCATCCTTTTGATTGTGGCGATCGATACATGCGGGAGGTGAATATTCGCAAAGACAACTTCAATTTGGATCTCCTGGACGTCCTTGGAGATTATGCCTTCGAAGCTAAGGATCTAATCAGTTCTATGCTTCGCAAGGAGCCAAAATCTCGTCCAGTCGCAGCACAAGTTATGGCGCATCCTTTTTTCTGGTCTGCAAAGAAGCGATTGAACTTTCTTTGTGATGTCTCTGACCACTTTGAGAAGGAAAAACGGGACCCTCCCAGCCCTGCCCTCTTAGAACTTGAGAGATGGGCCGGTGATGTCTGTCACGGCGATTTCTTAAAATCACTTGGAAAGGAGTTCGTGGATTCGATGGGCAAACAGAGGAAGTATACCGGCACGCGACTTTTGGATCTTCTTCGAGCCCTAAGAAATAAAAAGAATCACTACGAAGACATGCCTGATAAGCTGAAGAAAGATGTCGGCCCCTTACCTGATGGTTACCTCAGTTTCTGGACTAGGAAATTTCCTAACTTATTAATTGTTTGTTGGAATGTTGTGTATGAAGTGGAGTGGGATCAGGTGGATCGTTTCAAGGAATACTATGAGCCAGCAGGTCTTTAAGGTGCTCATGGTTTTGGTGGTTGTATCATTATTCATGGCGCAAAGGACTATAAAATGGGTTATTATACCTCTTTCTTTTGGATAATGAGATCATGATCAATACCCAGCTGGAAATGGAGGGGTTTTCTACATACACCCGTTGATGATTTGTGAAAAATATTAGTCATAATTATTTCTTTCATTATCGCCATTGCAATTATTCACCCTTTCAATGATGTATGTGAGATGTTAGCTTATAAGCACTTGATGAGTGTGGTGATGCATCAGAGACATGATTTCATGTAGAAGATCTACCTACCTACCGAAGGTCTATAGAGACAATTCGATATACCTACCAGGTAGAAAGTAGGGTGAGTTATCGTGAAGAAGAAAAAGCCTATAATAGTACCTACCTAGGTAGTTGTAACTACTTCATCAATTCCTAGGTATTTATTCTAGAACTGAGTAGATGTACTATTCTCATAATTATTAATTGAAGTAGGTACTTCCAACACAGTTGTATTCTTTCCGTTCACTTCAATGTCAGACATAGCATCCAACATACATTGGTTGGTCGAATTAAATAACAAAGGAATGAAAACACACATACAAAACGAATGTCTCCATAAACTTTATATGTGTACCTGTTCCTACCAAGGTAGGTAGATCTACGAGGTACCTACATCCCGGAGCTAATGATAAAGGCTTACCTAGTATTAAAAGGCTAGGCTTGGGCTAATCCTTGCATTCTCGTCGCATCATCATCTGGGCAGCTTTCCAACGAGACAACAATTGATAAACAAAAAAAACTTCAAAGATTTCCTTCATACATTCATACTCTGATACTCATGCCCATAAGTTTTTGTAGCCATTTTGATCATAAATTTATTAAACACCACCTGGGCACTCAAATCAACCTTCAAAATCATCCATCTATTTCACCATTATCTTTTGGAGTGGAATCTCTTTATTCATTCTTTTAGTTTCTCATGGTTAATTTTGTTAATGCGACAACAATAACAATAATATTCCAACATCAAACTTATTAGCATACCGGCAGATAAAAGCTCCATCGTTCTATCCTTACTGCAAGTAAAGGAGGTCTTTTAATCATTTTGTCTTTTCTGCTTCGGTTTGAGATTCACTCTTTCACTTGATGCCAATTGTATTTTGCTACCTTCCTTATCCCCCAGGATTTCCTCTTCTATCCCATATCCCCTCTCTCGCAGGTAGCACAACTTCTAGAATCTGATATTGGTACAAGAGTTTTCCAACCAACAACACAATGTCTTGTAAGCCCATCTACTATATGAATCTACCTAATATACCACTAACTCCACTGAAAGTAACCTCGGAAGAAAACTCAAAGTATTCCATAATCATTGATAGAATTCTCAAAGAGGGTGATCTCAGTACTATCTCTGCGAAACAGATTCGTAAGGATCTTCAAGCAGAATTAGGATTTGATCTTTCCCATCAAAAAGTAATGCTATTTCTACAATCTCACAATTTCATGGTGCTAACTCCTGTCCTTTAAGGATGCCGTTAAAGCTTTGATCCTGGAAAGATTTGACGAAGTCTCGAAACACACTCAGGATGCATCTACCCCTCCACCTGCGACCAATGGACATGCTAAGAGCGAATACATCAAAGATGAAGGATCGCACACTCCCACATCAAAGCGGGAAGTTGATGGTTCTGACGAAGATGAGAAGCCAAAGAAGAAGAGACCGAAGCAGGATGAGGATGCGAAGTTGGCGGCTCTACTACAGGCGCAAGAAGACAGCAGGACAAGATCGACAAGGGGCGGTGGAACGAAACGAAGCGCAGGCGTTAAGAAGAGCAAGAGTACACCAAAGAAAAAGAAATCTTCAGCAAAGGTCAAGGCAACAGATGATAGTGACATGGAGTTAGGTTCAGATGGGGAGCCTAAAGAGGTCGTCAGAAAGGGCGGGTTTCATGTAAGAAGCTGCTCCATATTTGAAAATGTTGCACAAGTAACTAATTTCGAACAGAAACAATATAATCTATCGGCAGCTTTGGCAGATCTTGTAGGGGAACCAACAGTACGTATCGCTGTCTAATTACCATCCTCTCATACTAATATGTTCCAACAGTTGTCGCGGCCACAAGTTGTCAAGAAGATTTGGGAACATATCAAAAGTCTTAATCTTCAGGATCCTAGCGATAAACGACAAATTATATGCGATGATAAGATGCAATTGGTTTTCAAAACGGAGAGAGTTCATATGTTTACCATGAATAAGCTTCTTGGTAAACAGCTGTACCCTGTTGAGGAGGAATAGGATACTTCAGTCATTGGCAGTATGGTGATAATACGACCGTTTTTCGTTTTCCATGAGGGCGTTTTGGGGAAGGCATTGCATTGAAGTTTTGGGTATCTAACTAGGTACTCGTAGTTAAGGGACGGCATGAGTGAATCCCAAGTTTTCGGGACCGCCAGCTCAGAATTATCTTTATTCGTTAGGGACAGCGTCTTATGGGTTTCTTAGATGTATGGATCATCTTCATTGACTAATAGACCCAAGAACCTGTCTCACCGTGACTTTGAACTTTATTTGTTTATAGCTTCCTCCATGTAAATTCTTCGGGGTGACTCTAACCATTGATTTATCAGCCTTGAACGGTCACTCAGCAGCCTTGCCTTGCGTAGGCGGGGCTAAGCGATTGCAGGCCCCCACACCTTCTGTGTATAATAATTTGTCTTGGTTGCTGTAGCTCTCCGAGGCAAATCAATAGTTGTTTTCTAAAGGAATTATTCTTATTTACACCAGAAAGCTTCAATTCTACCCCCCAGAAAGTGCCAGCTTTACTATTACAACAAAAGTACTCTAGAGTCACAATTCGTACATCATCGTACATCAAGACTTCATATCACAGAACGCTGTAAACCTCTCAGTAAATTAGCAATGGCGTCCACAGCCGGAATTCCTTCTACAGCTGACGCTTCTGCGCTGCCCCGCAACGATGGGCAGCGAGGCCCAAGAGGAAGAGGAAGGGGCCGCGGTCGAGGAGGGGCTCTGGGAGATTCCGGTAGTGATTCTAGACGTTCGGAAAACCGTGGAGGGAGACGAGGGGGTCGTGGTGGGAATAGGGGACATACGGCTAGCCACGAGACTGCCAATACAAATACCAATACTATGAACTCTACAGATCCCAACGCCAAATTCTCCACCCAGAAGAAATTGTCCAGAGCAGATGGCGAAAACAAGGACGCAAATGGGGAACCGGTTGAAGTAGAGGTATGCTTCATTTGTGCCTCGGACGTCGAACATAATGCTGTCGCCCCATGTAACCATCGCACATGCCATATTTGTGCTTTAAGGATGAGAGCACTATACAAGTCGAAAGACTGCGGCTATTGCAGAGTGAGTCCCGCTGTTGCCGACTTCATCAAACCAGGCTAATATCTTCCAAGGCACCCTCGCCATTTGTTATATTCACAGACAATGCGACCAAAAATTATGAAGACTTCTCCGATGAAGATATTTCGAATACAGACCCAAACATTGGTATTCGATATGAAAGTAACGAAATTCAGGAGGATACCCTATTACTTCTACGGTATAATTGTCCTGATCCCGATTGTATTATTGCATGTAGAGGCTGGCCAGATTTGCATCGTCATGTTAGATCTATACATCAGAAGAAAATGTGTGATCTGTGTACGAGACATAAAAAAGTGTTCACCCACGAACACGAATTATTCGCAGACAAAGAACTCGAAAAACATATGAGGAAAGGAGATGATAACCCTGGAGCACTCGATCAAACTGGATTCAAAGGGCATCCTCTATGTTCGTTCTGTGGTCAACGATTCTATGGTGATGACGAGCTATTTTTGCATTGCCGAGACAAACATGAAAGATGCCATGTCTGTGATCGACAGAGTAATAACGGCCAACCCCATTATTACATTGATTATAATTCCCTATCTCAGCATCTACGAAAGGACCATTTTCCTTGCAACGAACCGGAATGCTTGGAGCAGAAGTTTGTATTCTTTGCAACGGAGATGGATCTAAAAGCACATCAATTAGAAGTGCATGGAAGTAGTTTATCTAAAGATGTTCGCAGAGATGCAAGGACGGTTGATATTTCTACCTTTGAATATCGCCAACCATATGCACAAGAGCGCAACCGCGGCGGAAATCAACGAGAGCAACGAGAAGGCCGTGGCAGAGGCAGGGGCAGAGATCCAAATGCTGAACCATTGGCACCTTCCAGTGCACAACCCTTACGTCGGGAAGAACAGGCTTTCCAGCGTCAAATGGCTGTGCAAGGCGCTCAAGCTGGTTCATCGAGAGCTTTCGGCGGTCAATTAACGGCGCCTACCCCTGCTCAAGCTAGTGCCAGAGTCAACCCGGCAGAATCCTCACGGGCTGCTTCCGCTCGGCCTGCAGCTAATGCCGGGGGTCTTTCCGAAGCAGTCAGGGGGCTGGATATATCTGCACCACAATTAACAGCCGAAGAACAACGCAAGCAACTTCAACATCAAGATGTTATTGATAGAGCGACCCGACTTTTACAAAATGACCAAACCAAGCTAAATCAATTCCGCAACTCCATATCTTCGTACAAGAATGCTGGGATTACTGCTTCTGCTCTCATCGATGCATTTTTTGCTCTATTTTCGGACACTACTCCGGCTGCACTCGGCTCGCTTATCCGCGAAGTGGCCGCTCTTTTTGAAGACCAGAGTAAGGGGAAGGCAATAGTCACCGCTTGGAACGATTGGCGTGCAATAAATGAAGATTACCCGTCTCTTCCAGCTCCTACTTCCAGTAACGGTAATTCCATACCTTTAGGGTGGGCATCCGCAAATTCCAACTCTTCATCTGGCCCACGATCCAATCGTGTGCTGAAATTGAAAAAGTCTACAGCACAATCCTCCCGCTCAACCGTCTCACAGAATCGGTCCTGGGGCACTGCTTCAACATCCGCTTCCACCTCATCACCTGCCCCATCCTCTTCAAATCAGTATAATAACCCCTTCCCAA